CTTTGACTAGATCCTTTGTGTTTCTGGTTAGATTTACTCCCCAGTGTTTAGTCTTGTGATTCGCTGTTGTGAAGGGTATTCTTTTTCTTAGTTCAGGCTCTGTATTTTCTTTGTCACTGTAGAGAAATCCAACTGATTTTTGTATGTTGACCTTGTATCCTGCTACTTTGCTGAATTGGTCAACTACGTCTAATAGTTTTCTTGCTGAGTCTTTAGGGTTTTCTAGGTATACTACCATATCATCTGCATAGAGAGATAATTTTACCTCCTCTTTGCCAAGTTGGATACCTCTTATGCCTTTCTCTTGTCTTACTGCTATCACTAAGACTTCCAGTACAATATTGAATAAGAGAGGTGAGAGTGGGCATCCTTGCCTAGTTCCTGTTCTTAAAGGGAATGCATTTAACCTCTCTCCGTTGAGAACGATGTTGGCTCTCGGATTTGCATAAATACTTTTTACTATGTTGAAGAAATTCCCCCCTAATCCTATTTTGTTGAGTGTTTTAATCAGGGAAGGGTGTTGGATTCCTGTCTTTCTTTTATAGAGCCACTGGTGGACTTGAACTGTCCAAGTGACCCCACCTTTGGTTTAGCAGCACAACTCCCTAAGAACTAGGATCGCTAGGATAAGTGATTGTTGTTGTCTCCTCAAACGAACTTGTGGTGAGGGGCATGGATTTTATAGTTAAACCATATCCTAGGTTTGACCCTTGCTGCTTGCTATCTCAGTGACTTTGAGCAAATCACCTAAGCTCTCTTAGCCATTTGGTGGTGGTGGTGTGAGAATTAGAATTGTTGTGTTGATTGCCTTTGAGTCAAGCATGACTCGTAGTGACCCTGTGAACAAAAGGCCTGAAGCCCCTCTACAACTGTCGACATTTAGCAAAGTGCATTGAGTTTCCAGAGGCATGGTGTTTAGGAAGTGAATGCCACTCCTGCTTCCAAACCTGTCAAAGTATGTTATTGTTATGTGCCATTTAGTCACCTGTGACGTATAGTGACCCTGTGTACAGCAGCTCTGAACCCTTCCCTGTCCTGAGCCAGAATCACCTAAAAAAGAGAAAGATGCCAATGATTGCACTGACACAATGACCATAGCAATGGCTCACCCAACCATACCTGCTGTTGCGAGAGACGTCACATCACAGAGTAGCCATTGACTCTATTATTCATAAGATTTCTATGATTCGGCATTCGATCTGATTGAACCTAACAGTAGCAACAATACAAAAAAAAAAGCACTTAGCATAAATGTCTGGTACCCCATAAGTGCTTAATAATTGTAAAGTTAAAAGAAAATCCCCGAGAAGCCCTTTGTTTCAATTGTTGTTCTCAAAGTGTTATAAAACTTAATATATTTATCCTTTCTTGCTTCCTCCTTCCTACTTTTAAAAATCTTTTTGTTAAAAAAGTCAAATTCAAGTTTGTTGATTAAAAGCTTTGTGTTATAACATTTCAGACTAAAAAGCTTCTTAGACCAATAAGATTCAATTTGATTTTATCATCTTTAATAATCTGTCTCTGAATGCATTTCACAGAGAGATAAGGGTTTAAACACCACTGTCTCAAGCTTGCCAGAGGGTTATTTATTTTCTGTAATTTACAGGTCCATTCCAGCATGCTATTTTGTTACCATAGGGAACAGAGAGGCTAAGATCTCTCCAGGATCCTCAGTCTGGCTGAAAGTGAAGAGAGGAGAGTGATACCAGGGAAGGTGGGAGAGATGCTAGTTTGACAAGGAAAGAAATTAATTTGGTGTTAAATATGGTGAGGTTATGCAGGGCACTGGTGGTGTATGCTTCCTGTCTTTTGAATCCCTGGCTGTGTCCATTGAGCCTGTTGTTACCTTGCATGCCATCCAGGCCGTCTAGTTGACTATGACTCATAGTGGTCATATTGACAATAGACTGTCCTGTGCCATCCTCGTGATGTCCACCATATGCCAGCCTGTTGTTAAAGTTACTGTGTCAGTGCATCTTAATGAGCATTAAGAGTGAGAGAGAGGCTTTATTGGCACTCTTGCTGTGGCCCTAGTATATATACTTTAAAATATATTAGTAAATAGATACTAGTCTGTGTTTAGCCTAAAGACAAATTGCACTGGGAAAGTCTTCTGTTAGAGACCTCTCCAGAGTACTGAAGAGCAATGGTGTCAGTCTGGAGACTAAGGTGTGCCTGATACAGGCCATAATCTTTGCAATTACTTGCTATACATCAGAGCGATGGACAATGACAAGGGATGATATGAGAATTGATGCCTTTGAGCTGTGGTGCTGGAGAAGAGTACTGAATATACCATGGACTGCTAGGAGAACAAACAGCTTCATCCTAGAGAAGGTGAGATCAGGCTGCTCCTTGGAGGCAAGGATTCTAAAGTTTCGTCTGACATACTTTGAACATGTTGCAAGGAGGAACCAGTGCTTGGAGAGGGACATCATGCTTGGGAGTGTGGAGGGACAGTGCAGGAGAGGAAGATGAGATGGATTGATTCTGTGTCTGGGGTAATGGGGGTAGGTGTGTCAGAGACAGTAAGATTAGCACAAGATAGAGCAGGTTTTAGGGCTGATGTACATAGGGTCACTGAGTTGCAGGCGACTCAACAGCACATAACAACAACAGCATCTATTTTAAAGTGTGTTTGTATGGACAGCTACCTAATAAAAGGTATATTGTCAGACACACTTGTATACTTGAACTGGAATTTAAATTCTCTCTCTGTTGTTAGGGACTGTGAAGTTGAGTACAACTCCTAGCAAACCTGTGAGCAACGGCTCTGAGCCCTGTCCTGTTCTGCACCGTCCTCATCATCTCTGACACACACAAGCCCAAGGCAGCAGTCACTGTACTACTCAGTGATTACCTGGGACAAACACACCAGAAATTTGGCCTGTACAGGAGTTCTCTTTTTCTCATGCTCAAAACCTCAGGAAATATCATCTAAAAGAATTCTTAATAGTTCTTAAGGTTTCCTCTCAGCCTCCTACATTTCTGTTACCTTTTTTAACTTTTTTTAAAAATTAATTTTAATGAACATTCACAATAATTTTGGATTTCCATTCATTCATTGTTGCATTTTTCTCCCTGCCCACCCCGATCCCCTCTCTAGGAGGAGAGGAGAGTTTGCTCCTCTCTCTAAAAAGTAAAAGAAAAATTCCTTCATTGGTATACAATCCTCCTCCTCTCCACAGTACACTCCACTATGCAACCTTCATTCTGGACTCCCATCAGAAACCCAATTGAAAAATGGGCACAGGATATGAACAGACACTTCACCAAAGAAGACATTCAGATGGCCAACAAATACATGAAGAAATGCTCAAAATCCGTAGCTCTTAGAGAGATACAAATCAAAACAACTATGAGATATCATCTCACCCCAGTCAGA